CCTCCAAATGATTTTGAGTTTTGTTCCACATTATTCTCCCTCTCTATGCAGGATCTCCTACATTGCTTCCAAGTGGATGACAGTGGTAGCCAGGCACCATCTAGTTCTTCTGGTCTCATAGTTGTATAGGTTCTCTGCTCATTTTATGATTGGATTATTTGTCAATTTGTTGTTAAGTTGTAAACATTTTATACATATTTTCATTACTAGATTCTTATTGGATATATGGTTTCTGAAGATATTGTCCAACTCAGTAGCTTGTCTTTTCACTTTCTTTGGTACAGTGTTTTCATGAACAATTTTTTTTTTAAATTATGAGGTCATGCTTACTTTGTCTTTTGCTTTTGTTATTATAATAGATAATCCATTTGAAAGCTAGGCATGACAACATTGTCCTTGCTTATCTTCTAAGAATTTTATGGTTTTAGTTTGACTTTTAGGTCCTTAATTCATTTGGATTTGTTTTTGTGTATGGTGTGAGGCATGGATCCTGTTTCATTTTTTCTGCATGTGGAAATCATTTATTGAAGAGACTGTTATTTCCCATTGATGAACTTAGTACCCATGTTAAAACATCAGTTGACCATAAATGTGTAGATTTATTTCTGGACTCTCAAATCTATTCCAGTGGTCTGTGTGTCTATTGTTATCACAATATCAGGCTGTTTTGATTACTGTAGCTATATAGTATGTTTTAAAATCAGGAAGTATACATCCTCCTACTTTGTTTTTCTCTTTCAACATCGTTTTAGCTATTCAGGACCTCTTGCCATTCATATAAGATTGAAGACTGGCTTTTCTATTTCTGTAAAGAAGGCTGTTGAAATTTTGGTCAAGATTGTGTTGAATCTATAGATTGCTTTCAGTAGTACCAACATCTCAACAATATAAGTCTTCCAGTCCATGAACATGGAACATCTTTTCATTTCTTTAATCTCTTTCAGCAGAGTTTTATAGTTTTCATTGCATAAGTCCTTCATGTCCCTAGTTAGATTTATTCCTAGATATTTTATTTTCTCAGATGCTACTGTGAATGGAATTGTTTCCCTTTCGGTTTCTCATTGCTGGTATATGGAAACTCAATTGATTTTTGTTTGTTGACATGTACCCTGCAACTTTGAGAAATTCCTTTATCAGCTCTAGAAGTTTTCTTGTGGACTCTTTGGGATTTTCTATATAAAAGATCATATCATCCACAAATAGAGATCATTTTACTTCTTTTCCAATCTGGATACCTCTTTTTTTTTTTTTTCTTTTCTTGTCTAGGGCTTCTAATAAAATGTTGTATAGAAGTGGTGAGAGTGTTGTGCATATATTTACGCCCCCCCCTCAAATTTTTATTTTATTTTATTATCTTTCTCCATTTTATTATCGTTGATGATTCTGTACCAAGAAAAGTAGATTGGACTCAGCAGGATGGCTCTTCTGTACCACGTGATGTCATCTAGGCCGCAGTCACTGGAGACTCAGCTGGGCTGGAACATTTGGAACAGCTCCCTCAGCCAGGCTGGCAGGTGGTACTAGCTGGGAGATCAGCAGGGGTTGTTGATCAGAGCACTCCATGAAGCTTCTCCATATAGCTTGGGCTTCCTTCTAGCATGGTGGCTGGGTTGTGAGGGGCAGTGTCTAAAGAGCAAATATTCCAAGGGGAATGAAGTAGAATCTGCCAGCCTTCTTAAAGGCCATAACTGATGTGGCACCATGTCCACCAGATCCTACTGGTTAAACAGTCACAGGCCAGCCCAGGTTCAAGGGGAGGGCAAATAAACTTCATCTCTTGAGGGGGACAAACAAACAAAACTGTTGCCTCTGACTCATGGCAACACCACGTGTTATGAAATGGAACTGCTCCAAAGAGCTTTTGTTGGTAATTAAAAAATTGAGATAAAATTAATATAACA